TTCAAGAAACGGATGCCGCACTGTAGGCACTTACTCAGCTAGCCAAAAGATTTGGAAGACAGCTACCTGGCCAACTGACTGGAAGAGATCCACATTTGTACCCATTCCAAAGAAAGGTGATCCCACAGAATGTGGAAATTATCGAACAGTATCATTAATATCAGACACAAGTAAAATCTTACTGAAGATAATTAAAAAACAGTTGCAGCAGTATATTGACAGACAACTTCCAGAAATGAAAACTAGATTCAAGAAGATATGGAACAAGTGATATCACTGCTGATGTCAGATGGATCTTGGCTCAAAGCAAAGAATATCAGAAAGATGTTTACTTGTGTTTTATTGACTATGCAAAAGCATTCGATTATGTAGATCATAACAAGTTATGGATGACATTGAGAAGAATGGGAATTCCAGAACACTTAACTGTACTCATGAGGAACCAGTACATAGACCAGAAGGCTGTCATTCGAACAGAACAAAGAGATACTGCATGGTTTAAAATCAAGAAGGGAGTACGTCAGGGTTGTATCTTTTCACCATACTTATTCAATCTGTATGCTGAACAAATAATCCAAGAAGCTGGACTACATGTAGAAGAAAGTGGTACGAGGATTGGAGGAAGAGTCATTAACAAACCGCGATACGCTGACAACACTACTTTGCTTGCCGAAAGTGAGGATGACTTGAAGCACTTACTGATAAAGACTGAAGACTATAGTCTGCAGTACGGATTATACCTCAACACAAAAAGAACAAAAGTCCCCACAACGGGACCAATAAGCAGCATCATGATATAGGGAGAAAAGACTGACGCTGTCAAGGACTTTATATTACTTGGCTCTACAATCAACACCAATGGAAGCAGCAGTCAAGATATCAGAAGACACACAGTATTGGGCAAATTTGCTGCAAAAGACCTCTTTCAAGTGCTGAAGAGCCAAGATACCTCCTTGAAGACTAAGGTGAGTCTGACACAAGCCATGGTATTTTCAGTCAATTTATATGCATGTGAGAGCTGGACAATGAATAAGGAAAACTGAAGAAGAATTGATGCTTTTCAGACGTGGTGGTGCCAAAGAGTAATGAAAGTACCATGGACTGCTAAAAGAACTAACAAATCTGTCCTGGAAGAAGTGCAGCCAGAATACTCCTTGCAAGCAAGAATGGCCAGACATCTCATTTACTTTGGTCATGTTTAAGAAGGGACCATTCTCTGGAGAAGGATGTCATGCTTGGTAAAGTGGAGGGTCAATGAAAAAGGGGAAGGCCCCAACAAGGTGGACTGACACAGTAGCTGCAACAATAGGCTCAGGTATAGCAAGGATTGTGAGGCTGGCACAGGACTGGGCAGTGTTTCATTCTGTTGTACATAGGTTGCTATGAGTCAGAGACACTCGATGGCACCTAACACTGACAAGAACTACTACTCAAAATATCCAACCTCAAAACAAAACACCAAATGCGATTCCCTGAGTCAGCAGATTCCATGTGATTTTGTTACTCAGTTGTATGTCAATAAAGCTAATAGAACAGCACAAGGATGAACACACACACATGGGCAAGAAAGCCTTCTGGATATTCTGTGACAAGCAAAGCAATCTGTGAAAATCAATTATAGCAGCAGGTAACCTGGTTATAGGAATACCTCTTCTACTATGCACAGAATATAGTACTTACTTTCCTCTGACATGGTAAGGTTTGAAGCAAGGCTCGAAGTTTCCGGTTTCTGATCACTGACTTCTGGGTTGCTGACTTGACTGGGAGAACCAAAATGAATATATTAATTAACTCCTGATTGATTGGCTGCATTGCAAAAAGTAATGAATCATGCCCACATTTTCCTAGGCTATATGGAAGAGGTAAGGTAAATCCTCTTCATGCTATCTTCATTTTCAGTTTTTAGCAGCTGCATGAAGAGAGGCCCAGGGCTAGTACCCTCAGCATTCTGCTGCTCTTTTTTGTATCCCAGTCCTCTTCAGCTTTTAGATCTCAGAAACTCCAGTTAAGCCACAGGCAAGTCATATTTACTTTATATGTTAAAGACCTATGGTAAAAGAAAAATTCTACAACATTTCAAGCTTTGTTTCCAAAGTACCACAGGAAAAGCAGGCAGATGATTTCAGACAAGTAGTTCTCAATATACTGCAAATCAGAATCATCTGAGGTTTTTCAAATTACACATGATTGCTTGCCAGTAGGGGTTCTGAGCCCTTGAAATGGTCATTCTACTGCATTTCTCCCTACCCCCAATAAAAATTTAATTATATATTATAACCAAGAATAAGCCACATCTTCGTTTTTTGATTTATAAGGAAAATTCAGAGAAATTGCAAAAGGTAAAATATGTAAATTGAGAGAACAAATTATAATATTAGATATGTTAGAAATATTCTCACTCGAATTACGGATGGAGATTATTCTAAATTTTGTACCTCACAATGTTCTCCATTTTCTTTGTACTATTGTCCACTCTCCAGTTACTCCCTCAACTACTAGGACAGCCAGTTTCCGGATTACAATGAGCTCCATTCCTAAGTCTGTCTTTAGGTTGAATTTGTACACAGTCAGAACAGTTAGGTATGGTTTGTATCTAACATCAGTTAGTCAAATGTTTGTCTAGTATATATTGTATACTTTTCATGCACACACAAAAAATTAAAGAAACACTTCCAGATACATGAAAACACTAATAATACAGTAGTAATAATAATGTTTTGATGCATGTCATAAAATAGCACACATTTGTTATTATGAACCATTTTATGTCCTCAAATATGCTTTACAGGGGTTACTTTGTTTGTAACCCAGGGACTGCCTGTGTAGCATAATGGTTAAAAGTGCAGATTCTAGAGCCAGACTGCTAGAGTTCTTATTCCACTCTACCAATAACTAGCTCTATGACCCTGGGAAAGTCATTGAATCTCTCTGTACCCTAGATTCTTTATCTGTCAAGTGGGGATAGAACCTATCTCATAGGGCTGTGATGAGGATTAATGAGTAAATATATGAAAAGTACATAAAGCAGACATTAGAACATAATAAGCACAACAGAAGCGTAGCTATTATTATTATATTAAACTTCTTCCCAGCCTGGGCATCTTTGCTCCCTGGAAAGAAACTTGCTTTCTTCTTCTACACTCTGGGGAGAGGAGGAGGGCACTGCAAGAGAGGATCCATATATCTGGAAAGGTAAGACTGACTAATCAAAGATAAGCGTAGTTTTTACACAGCAAAATTTAAAAATGAAATGTTATTTCTATTAAAAATATACAAGTGAATTTGCTCTGTAAACTATCATCCAAACCACAATAAAAATATTTTTTTTAAAAAAAGTTAAAATTCTTCAAACTCTCATAATATTTCCAAAACTGACCTCTAACATTCAAATATAATACCAATAAATTTTTCTTTTTCTAGCGTATTTTGAACATTCAAACAGTTTTTTCCACATACGTAATTAATTGTGAAAACTAAATCCCCAGATGAATATTCACCTCTTTATTCAAATGTCTGTATTTTTGGAATAGCATTTAATGTACTCACCAAGATGTGGCTATGGAATTTAAAGGACAAGAGTAAGAAATCATGCTGAGTAGTTATAGGATGTTTCCCAAACTGGCTACTCATTATAATTTTACCTGAATGCTTGTTAAAAATACAGACTTCTGGGCCCCTTCTCATATCTACTCACACAATTCCCAGAGGAAGGGCATAAAATTGGACAAGAGCCTCACATTTCTGACTGCAATGACTAATCTGTCTCCTATGTGTGCCTGGATAATTCTGGGGTTCACTGTTTTACCTACTGTTCAAAGATTATTTCAAGATTTTGTATCTTAGAAGGTGATGATGTGTATGGTCTGAGACGCATGCACTGTGGGACCAGTGTCTATTATGTTCTGGATTATGTCATAGCAATATCCCATACATATTCAACTGAGTATCTAGAGGTTAAACAGAAAAGACAGTGTTGAGAATAGTGAATTAATTTTCTCACTCACTGCTGTCAAGTTGTTTCCAACTCATAGCGACCCCTCCTTGGGAAAAAAGTATCTCTACAAAAGTAGATTCCCCAATCCTCCTTCTGAGGAGTAGCTGGTGGGTTTGAACCACCACACTTCTGGTTACCAGTCAAATGCTTTAGGTACTATGCCACCAGAGTTTCCCCTGAATTAATGCTAGCACTTTATTAAATATTTCTAATTATTATTTCTAGAGAAATTATGTACTGTCCCACACTGGTAGTCCCTGACTTACCAGGTATTTGAGTTATGACAAACTACACTTAAAACCATCTTTTGTTTTTACATCTTAGTGTTAGTTGTATATACTACATGTAGTGTTGCAGTGTATAATTTGCTGTTCTTATCAGTTTCATGCCAGTCCCAAAGACAAATAAAGATCGAATTTATAAAGACAATGATAATACAACCAAACACCTCTTGAGATTTGGTTGCTTGGTTTCGAGGTTTAGGGTCATGGTTTCATTGGACATACCAGTTACCTGGTCTAACAATGTGTTAAGTGCTTCTGTTCTATCCCCTAGTTTGTTGTGTAGTGTCTGGGATCTTAAAAGCTTGAAAGTGGCCATGCAAGGCACAACACTTGGTTTTTATTCACCCAGAACAGAGGAAAGAGAGTCAAGAGTAGGAGGAGGATATGGAATGTGTGGCTGTTTGCCTCCACAAACAACTGCCTCCTTTGCCATGAGACGAGTAGAACTGGATGGTGCACCTGGATACCATTACTGAACATTTTGATCAAAGATTCCATAGAAGAATCCTGATTAAAAGGGGAAAATGCAGAACAGAATTTCAAATTCTCATAGGCTCCAGATTTCTGGAGTCATAGAGAATAGATGAACCCCTGAAACTACTGCCCTGAGATCATCTTCAAATGTGACACCAAAAATATTGTTTGCAGTCTTTTAAAACCCAAACAAGAGTTTAGCTTACCCAGTAAACAAAAGTCTGCCTTGAGCATTATGCTCTTCTAAGAACTATCTATCAGACAGACAGTTGTTGTTGTTAAGTGCCATCGAGTCGTTTCCGACTCATAGCGACCCCATGCACAGAGAATGAAACACTGCCCTATCCCGCACCAGCCCCACAATCCCTGCTATACCTGAGCCCATCGTTGCAGCCACCATGTCAATCCATCTCGTTGAAGGCCTCCCCATCTTTCGTCGACCCTCCACCCTACCAAGCATGACATCCTTCTCCAGGGAATGGTCCCTCCTTACAACATGACCAAAATAGGTGAG